AGCAAATAGAGATTTAATTATTAATATTGCATTGTTTACCAACCGTGTAACCTTAAATTACAATAAATTTTGGTACATAACTAGTTATATGTAAATCACACGACCATTATCAACCAAAGAGGGAAGTGGAAAAGCCTTAATTGGTATTATTATGTGATTTTGAGCAATTGTTTTGTTAACATACTTCTAAATGTAAACTTTTATCTGGAACATTAAAAATCGCGGAGTTCGTTAATTCAACTCCTTGTTAATAGTTGCTCTTTTCTTTTGTTTTTTTCTTACACCAATTCCTTGCTTTCTTTGTACATCATCCATTTTCCATTTTCCTGGTTCGACTTCACTAAACAGTAAATCATGCCTGGATCATTGTTACGCGAAGTTAACGCCAGATCATAATACAAAGTATAATGAATGAATGAAGTTGACTTGTTGGTAAGTATTTGCAATAAAAAATGATTTTTAAGAAATCGTTGGTTTCGGAAAAGTACATGCAATCTCCAGATGAATTTGCAGTGTTTTTGGATTCGGAGTTATATTCCGCAAGTTATGCGATATAACACATCGTACAGCATATCTAATTTCATTGTTCGAAATGCTTTGTGCATTCCATTTTTAATATATATATGAAAGCTGTCGTCAATAGACTTTAAAATTTCTTGCAAAAAATAAACTTGACACAGAAACTGAACAGCAAATAGATTCAGGTAAAACCTATTCAAGAAATATTTAAATTTGACGATACCGCTACTTTTTGTTGTCTTATAGAAAATATATGATGTAATATTTCCTCCTTATTCCTTAGGATTAATTAATTTATATACGTATAAATACTGTTATTTGGTACATTCAGACTGAAATTTACTCAATATGATTAAAACCTATGCTTTTTGTAATATGTTGAGGGAATTCCTTCTTGGACCACTCTACTTCTTTTGAAAATTTCAGGATCAAGTTCCTACTTATAATTTGCACCTCGCTTAATATGCTGTGTGATTATATGCGCTGCCTAGTTGTTATATAATTTCATGCATTACATATTATCATCACAACCGGCGATCCTATCGTTAACCAGAGATAATTCTTCGTGTTATGTACAACCAAGGGTAGGTCGTTTAATGCTTTCATTACATATGCGGTTTTTATTTGGTTAATTCAATACCTGCTAACTTTCTTCATCTTCTCCGTCGAACTAACAAAAGTCACAAGTATTTTAATTCGTTACCTTTTTTTTGTTCTATGTCCTATTCACACATGCTAAAACTTACAAACTTGCTTGTATTCGCATGTTTATATACGTCATTCTATTTTAGATTTTCCTACTTTAATTATCAATGCGATGACAGCACGCTCAACTACTCACAACACTGTGTAATTCTGCGCTTTGCCTACTATGCCGTATAATTCTGCGTTTACCTAATTGGACAACTAATTTTCGGGAGAAATATTGGGAATCCACATTTATGTCACGTTTTATCACGTGATACGGCGAGAGCGAGCGGACGTGTCGTATCTGGCGGATCTCCGCGAATATAAGGTGTTTATTCGACTTGCGGCATTTGCTTTGTCAGCTGGGACACTGGTTTATTCAGTAACACCGACTATTTACGCGTGAAAGTAGACGAAACGTGTTTATATACGTACGACGATGCATTCTAATATGGATAATTTTATGAAGTCCAAGTTTTACTGTATTCACATCTGTTACGTTTGTTTTCAAACAGATAATTTTCATTACTAATCTTTAACGTTGGAAGCTGGCTGTTGTTATCAAAAGATTGCTATAGGATCCCTTGATTATTCAAATAATTCCTTTTTTATTTACGATTAGCGAATTTTTTTTCCTATATATTACTAGATAAAAATTATTTCTTTCTTTATTTTTTTGGTCCTTTGTTCTTCCAAGAAAAACACTTTTTATCCAACTCATTTTTTGTTACAATGGTTTTTATACGAGAAAAACTTCAGCACAAAATAACTTCGCATAGTGATGGGAACATTACCATTACCTTTTCATATGGTTTCGTTTCACACCCGTATCCGTTGAATCTAAACGAGATCAAGTTTCCAAAACAAAAAAAAAGGCGACTCAACTATTTTATGATTTTTCGAATATTCTTGCAAAAATCTATTAAACATTTACTCAGCAAAATTCATGTCAAAGCAGATAGTAGGGTTGTTTCTGGAATTGCAAGCGGCATTTTGAATGATGTTGATAAGGTGGATTGTAAATTTAAAGAAAGGCTAAGAGCAAGAATCAAAAATTTTTACGACAATAATCCGTCCTTTAACTTCAAAGAATGTAACCCAAAGCCTAAGGATAAAAAGAAGACAGCATCGCCATTGGCGACTAGCATTTGGGACACTCCATTTAACAATGATGTAAATTCGGGTGGTTTTATTGGCGCCTTTGACTCGAACAGTTCTATCGACAGCATTGAATCGAACGACTTTGTCGGTCCTTTCGATTTTAGCGACACGATCGATACCATTAATACTTTTAATTCTAATGCAAACATCCATCATCCTTATTTGAATGGTTCAACAAATGACTTGATCGATCAAACTTATTCGATCAGTGCTCCAAACCGTTTTCCCAATTTTATCCATCAGAATGGAGTTATTTACCTTGTCGATGCTCCAAATTACAATCAACATGGCTTTATCAATATCTTTGACTTGAATCTGAACTACGAATCTGGCGCGCTTACTCATTTATCGAATTTTAATCTTCCTTCAGACTTGAATACTGAGAATTTTGGCACATTCAACTATAATATATTATGAGATAATGATAAAGGTAATGAAATACGTTGTTTATTTTTATTTTATGAAATGTAAATTGACCATGATCGTCGCATTGTATTTTTATAAATTAGAATCGTATGCTCTATACCTAAGCCCGTAATCATTGTCGGCCTCACCATTCTCTCTATTTCTTTCTTCTTTTAAACGCGAGTGTATACACATTTTTCGTTATTTGATTTACCGTAAAGTCTCGAAATATTGCTATACATACTGTACACTGGATGATCAAACTAAAAAAACGAGATGCGGTGACTATATTTCGAGAATTTACGATACATGTAACTTATATTTTCTATCAAATAAAAATTTTTTTTGTAAATAAAATCACGTGACTTTATTGATTTTCGTGCGGCATAAATCACGCAAAAAAAAACTAAGCACAGTATGAACGTAGATTTTCGTGTTTACACGTGTTCGTAGACAATTCCTCCTGCGGTTTGATAGTAAAGGAGAGTAATTTTTTGTGAACTTCCTTTGTTTTTTTCTATTGTAATATTATAATTTGATTATGGCATTTTGGTTCTAAAAAACGTGATATAAACATAAGGTTATCTAAAATTTCTTCATACATAACAAATCTAAATAAGCAATAGAATGAAATAAAAAAGTCTATATTGGACAACGATAAGATAATACCCATGAGTTTGGGTTTTCATGTTGCGAATTGTCATCTCTCCATTGGCTTCGGAGTTATTAATGATCCATTAAGAAGTGTTCGTTAAAATATTATTGAATAAAATATACTGTATATATTTTTAACTATTTTGACACCTAACTAACCAAGAATTCGTTGCACTATCTTATAATCAGGAATGGTAATAAGAATGTTTGTTACAGAAAAAAAAGTTCAATTCTAATTTGCTCCAACTTTGAAACTTGCCATACTCTATTGGCGTAATGGTATAATTGATGAAACTTGATTTTTTTCCTGGAAAACAATATTTTATACATTTTGCTTTGACAGTCTCTCTGGGTTATTCGTGCATGTTACAAGTGTGTAAATTTTTCAATGTTTGAGCCCCGCTGCTCCGACTCTGTGGCTGAAATTTCGGAAAACTTACTAAAAGAACAGATTATGAGGCGTGTTGCACAAATGTCATTCGTAACTTGTGTATTAAACTAGGGTGGTACGTCCTTTTTCATGATTTTCAAGGACGCGCGAATGATACTTTTCATTTAAGCCCGTATTCATATCGTAAAAAACTGGCGGAATTTGCGGGAAATCTATTATTTGTCAAACTTCCGACATCGGTTGTTTGTATATAGCCCTATTCTGAATTTACATTATATTTACTAAATTTAACAAATCCCCGGTTTATTTCTTAGATCTAATACTAAATTATAAGGAGTATTAAAAGGACGGTTTAAGATCATTAATGCATGTTTCTATATTACCACTATCTCTCCCCCTTTTCTGATTATAATGATAACTTGTTATTCTATTACAAATTTTGATATCAACTTATGATCTTGGACAAAAGCATACAAAGTCAATCCTGTTCAAACAAGGTTTAAACACGTTGAGATTGATACATGTACATACTGTTTTGCATGATATACTAAATTTGAGTGCATTGATGTTTCAAGATCAAGGACAGTTTGATCCCGTGATACTTATTAGAAACAATATGTGGCATTGTAAACAACATTATTGATACCATATCGACCAAACTCCCGCGCCTGTATCAATAGGAAGGGCCTTATTTTAGAAAGAAGATTGTGATTCATTATGCATTAGAATGTTTGATTGCATTCTGAGAACATAAAACAACTGTGATTCAATGTATTCTTAAATATTACGTTATCGTAGTCCTTATCCAAAAGTATTTTTTAAAGATTCGAAAGCCTTTAGTACATAGCGTGCAAACAACCATATTTAGGGAAGATAAAAGTTCGACTCGTTTTGACTCGACTCCGGAAGCCAAGTCTTTTGTTATATTCTAATGTAAATCAAGTCATATGAAGATATTGTAAGTATTTTTCACAAGGATTAATTTATTTTATAATAATTAATTTCTGTACCCGATGAATATAATACATACAATAATTTATGATCAAATGACTATTAACAGGCTTGGTGTCAGATTCGGGACAGTTCAGTCCAAGCGAACTCAAAGACCGACTCCACTGAGCCTAACAATATATTCGGGATCTGCACGAAATATAATACCTTATTAGTTCACAATGACATACAGTTGTTTAAATATGCGACAAAAATAATGAATATAATTTTCGGACCCTATTTTTAAATAATTGATATGGTGTACAAATTTAGCATCGCAATTATAGGGTTCAAAAAAATAATAAAATCCCTGCCCAAGCATATGTTAAATATTAAAATTTATAAAAAAATATAATAATATAGTTTTTCTTATACGGTATAATTATTTTGCAAATGGGTATGCAGCATTAAAATATCGACAACAGGTACTATACGATAATAACGTATAACATCACACCTCGTCTATTACGCAGCGGGACGGAATTTTTAAGGCCTGCTGAATTATTAATAATCCTATATTATGCTTCTAAAAATTAATTTATTTTTTATAATAATTTTATGACAATGTTTTTTTTTGAAAAAAAACTTAAATTAATAAACCAATTTTTTTAAAAAAATTTTTTTTAATTTAAATGACATTATTTTGTAATTAATAACAACATCATTTATATAAGGTTTTTTTTTTTTTTTTTTTAATAAACGATTTTAGCAATAGCTAAAGTGGTTTTAGGTTTAATATTACAAAAGTGAAAGAAAATCGTTGATATTCTTATTTTGGTTATCTGTATGTTTTACAGATAAATAAAACAGTCCATAAGGTTTGGAATATGTGATATACAGTACTGTAATGTACACGCATTATGTAAATGTCGTGTAACTTTAAGTTTAACAATAAATTTTGTTACATAACTAGTTAGGCTAGTAGTAATGATCCCAATTTGAACTAGTATCTGAAACTCCTTGCTAATCATTTCCCTTTTTTGTTTTTTCTAGTACAGTACATCCACACTAACTTCCATTCTTCAATTGCACACCATAATCCGGTGTTAACTTCGCATGGTGGAGAATACGGCATAATTTATCAATTTGTGAAGCCAAGGTTGATTGTTAAGAAGCATTTCTATAAGCAAATAACTTCTATGTAGAATTCAAGGAATTATTATTTCGAAAAAGTACATACATTCACAAGATAAATTCGCGATATTTTCTTTTTTTTTATTCGGAGAAGTATTCCGTGAGTTGTGCGATACAACATATCGTACAGCATGTCAGAATTCTTTGTTTAATTACTTTGCGTATTACGCTTCTAAATATAAATATGACAGCTGTTGTCTCAAGAAATATTCGGATTTTAGACGACACCTTAGTTTCCAAGAATTTTAAATTAAATACAATACGGTAACATTTCTCTTTATTTATTAAAAAGTGTCAAAGGTACACGGCGCGATGTCACTTACGTCAGTCCGTTGACACGAACAGTTAAACAACAAATGTGGGAAAATTAACGAGAAAATTCTAGATTCTAGGAGAATGTTAAAATAATGTAAACATGTAAACGGTGGGTGCATGTATACGCAATTCGTTAGCATTCGAATTTTAAGTGTTCCAAATTGTCTAGCATTTAGTGTTGTGCGTCCCAACAATAAAAAAAAAAACTATTAATATAAACCTTTCGTCATTAATAAATAAACTCAAAACTTTAATTACACTCATACCTCATTTACGCTTGTGCCATAATAGTCAAAACTCATATTAAGTGACTATCTGAGAGAACCGACCTTGCCTAAGGAACTGGCGTTAAGAAGGGTTCTAATATAGTCGATAGAAAGGTTTAAGTATAAGTCGACCAAATCGTAAATACGCCTAGAAGTTGGATCAACGAACACTTAACCTACACGACGTTACGCGAAGAAATATTTGGTTGTCGATAGACTCGCCGTTTAGGTCACAACAATATATCAATGCCATTCATTAGTATATTCATATTGGAAATTTTATTTCAAGGTAATTAACCATCGTCAAACTTTTATAAATAATGCCGAGAAAATCACTCATTTACCTGGATCATTCATTTCTTTAAATTATAATGACCAAATTCCTGGCTACAATTCCGTACCCTACTTGGTAAGATATAAATATAATTCAGCGCTTACCTATTTTGCCTAGTTTACCTATTGACAATCAAATTTTTCGGAATTAATTCCGGCAATCTCACGCACAACACGTAAATTACGTAACACCGAAAGCGGCGCGTCGTATCTGCGGATCTCCGATAGATCAAGTTCGAATAAAGTGTTTTTTGTCAACTACTGCTCTGATTTATTCTGTACTACCGATGTAATAAGAATATCGACTTCTGGCGCGTGAAATCAAGAAAAACATGCTCACTTACGTAAAACTATTGCACTTCAATATAGTGAATTATATGGAATCCAAGTTTACAGTACTTACGCCATTTAATTATGTTTGCAAAAAAATATTACTTTAATTTTTATCTTTGGAAATCGAATAGCATTTTGTCGAGATGGAAGCTGAAGAACGACACTTCGAACACTCAGAGAAACACATGATTTTGTGAATTTTTTATATATTAGATATATTTTTTTTTCTTTCTTCCTTCTATTCTTTTCAAAAAAGAAAAATCTTTTTATCCTTTACTCCTTCTTCGTTATAATGAATTTTGTAGAAAAACCCCCTCAGCACGAAATAATTTCTCAAATAATCTCATATGATCATGACACGATTGACATTATATTAACACACGACAACATTTCTCAACAGTTTTTATTTAATCCATACAATATTATTTCTAGATATCCAAGCCCAATTAACGGCTTTATTATTCTTCGAATATTCTTGTGTGATTCCATTAAACTATTACTCAGTAAAATTCCTACCCGGTTGCCAACTAGAGAGGCTGTGTCTAAACTTGCATCTGACCTTTGGAAGGAAGTGGATTCTAAATTTAAAGAAAGGATAAATGAAATTAATAAAAAATATCATGAAATGAGGTACGGTACAAGAGGAAGTGATAAATACTTTATCGGAGGCTAATCTCTCAGAAGAAAACGCTATTTCTCATTTTTCACATTTAAACGATTTTAGTAATGCATACTCTATCGAACCGAGCGACTTTATCGATACTTTCGGTTATATCTCTCCAATCGATGCTATCAATGTTTCTAATCAGAACGAAGTTATCAATGATTTCGTTCCGAATGGATTTTCTCCTAATTCCCTCGAGCAGATTATCTTTTACAATCAAAACGAAATTATCAATTACTTCGTTCCGTATGAATTTGCTCCCAATTTTCTCAATCAAACCGAAATTATCCATGATTTTGTTCCGTATGAATTTATTCCAAATTCCCTCGACCAGATTTATTTTGCCGATACTCTTGATGGATTTACTCTCAATCAACATCCGAATCATTCTTCAAACTCGAATTATTAATATTCTTGTGATTCTAAGTAATGAGTTAATAATGTAGGTAACATGTGCCAATTTATAATCTTACTATAAATTAGGCTCATTATGCGTGCATATTACACTATACTTAAGTTCATATTTATTGTTTGTCATTTCTTTTTTTTTTTTTTTTGATTTGCTTTTATTCGCATTACACAATTTTTTTTATTTTT